TTTGCCTGCGTTAAATTAATCGCATTGCAGTTGTCCCACATGTGGAGAGAAGGTGCGGTGTGGACTCATAGTGGATTGGCATTAAGTGTTTTGGCCGGCCTTGGGCTGGCTTGCTTAAAGGAGCCCGACTCTGGGCTGTGCCCAGGACATAGTAGGAGTTAAGGGTGCCTTTCGGGGCCCACCAGCCTCTCCTTCCCTCCTACTCTCCTCCTTGTCCATGCTTGTGCCAGACCCTTTAAGTGTTTGTCATCGCAGTTTGGTGGCTGAGACCTCTGTCCTGTAGTCTTTGACCTGGCCAGATAGCCACTTCCACTGCCTGGCCTACCTACCATGAAGCTTCTGACGGTGCTGGAGAAAACGTGCCCCACAGCCCTACAGCGCTGGGTACTGAACCTCAGGCATCCCGAGAAGCAGTTCTAGCCCCCTCTGCCTTGTCCATCCTGTACCTGCCGTTGGCCATTGAACAATGAGGAGGTTGTGGGGGGCGTGGAGGAGCTGACCCCTGGCAGAGTGTAGGTAGACCCTGAGTATAACTTTGGGCTCCCCTAAAACTTAATTCTGAATAAGGATCCCCCCCCGGAACATTTGGTTACATTTCTCTCTAGTGACCTTGTGTGGTCTGTGTGTTTGTATGCAGTTTGGATAATTTTTAAGTAAGAGACTTGTGTATGTTTAATGACAGTGAATTATGAAAGATTCATCTACATATATATGTATATATTAATAATAATTATTTTTGGTTTGGGGGCCACTCCTGGGCAGTGCTGGGGGTCTATTCCCAGTCTTGTGCTTGGGGGTTGCCCCTGCAGTGCTCAGGCAGCCAGAGGGTTCAGGGCCTCAGACCAATGTATGTACTCGGCCCCTGGAATGACTCTTTTGGCCCTTATCAATGTATAACTTGCATATTCCCGACATCCCTTTTGGTATTACTATTTTTGGCATTTTAAGGTATGTGGTTTGTGAGTTTTTTTTATTGTGATCTCTCCCACTTTTCCGATTCATTTGTTCCTAATAACGTCCATTGAAGTGGAACACGCTGGTTCCTGCTCACAGGTTCAGGGGGCTGCTGTGTGGTCATTCTGGCAAGCCTCGGTTTGGACTCCTTTCTGTGCCTCCACCGCACAGCCTCTGCTCTGCCTCATAAAACACGTAGGAGTCAAGGTAGAAGAGCTCCCACGAGTTCGGAGATGGCTCTCGCGTCCCTCTGTGCCCTTCTGCCACAGCCTCCTGTGCTTGGCGAGACCCACCCGAGTAGTGAGTTTCCAGTGCTCTTTCCTTCCGGCTGTTGTCTGGGACATGCTTTTGTGGATGTCTCTCCTGGGGACCCTTGTTGGAAGCCTGTTGGCCTTGCAGGCAGGACTTCACTGCAGGCCCCCGCGTTACCTGGGCGACGTCTCTGTTCTCTGTCCGTGCCAGGGAGACTGCGGGGAGCCTGTTGCGCCTGGGTATGGACCGGAGGTGGATTTTGCGTTCTCTCAGCTTGTTGAAGATCCCGCTGTGCCTTCATTTGCTTAGTAGCAGACGAGTGGACGCTGAAGTCATCCTTGGTTTTTGGTTTTGTTTTGGGGCCACACCCAGTAGGACTCAGGAGTTGCTCCTGGTTCTGTGCTCAGGAATTACTCCTGGCATGCGCCAACCATGGACCAGTCCTCCTGGCCCTTGTGTCTACTGTCCTTGGGTATTAGTCTCATGCTATGTATTTTGTTTTTATTTTTTATCCCACAGATGAATGCAGTCATTGTATGTCCTGTCGTTCTCCTTCTAGTGAAATCACTCAGCATGGGACTCTCCATGTCCCTCCATTTATTTATAAGCAAATTTCATGACTCCATTTTTCCTAACAGCTGCCTCTGATTCCATTGTGTAGTTGTACTACAATTTCTTTATCCAGTCGTCTGTTCTTGGGCTTTCAGGTTGTTTCCAGATTCTGGGTACTGTGAACAGTGCTGTAGTAAACATAGAAGTGCAGATGGCATTTCTGCTGTGTGCTGGGCATGTTCTTTTCACCAAATATTCTTGGCCAGGAATATACATACAACACACATACATATATATATATACACACATATATACATATATACATATGTATGCATTCCCCCCCCCCCCCCCCGCACCCCCAGGAGATTGTTTTTCTGTTTGTGGAATGTGTTTATAAGCATGCACAGGTGACCTTCAACTCGTAGGTAGACGGTAGGACTTCTTTCTCTGTAGAGCTCTCTTCTCTAGCTGGGGGTTCTGGCCCCGAATGTGACATTCAGGTAGTCTGCGATGCCTGGTCTGTTTGCCTACCCCAATCAGTTTGTTTCTGCAGCCGTGATGCTGCTGAATTGTTGGTGTTCCTCTTTCCCTGGCCTGGAGCCTGGACCCCTGATAAGCCGGAGAGAGGATGCCTGGCTGGGGATAGGAGGGTCCTTGTTTTCCTTCCTTTTCCTCATGCATCTCTTTCCTGAGTGCCACTAGCTACTGTCTGACAATGGTCGTACCTTACACGTGCTTCATCTCTCTGGTTCTTTAGAGGACAGGTCATTCTGGATCCTGTCGGAAGTTTTAGGCGGAAGTAACAGTCGTGCTTTGGACTCTTAAAAACCCTAAAGCATGCTGTATTCTGTGCTTGCCTACTTTGAATCACCTTCTTGCTGTTTTTCACGTCGCCTAGTTTGCATGATGGAAATCCTTTTTCTGCCCTGCAGGGCGGTCATCCTTGGGAGAGAGCACCTCAACAGGTGCATGGTCTACAGTATTCTTAACCAGCCTGGATTATTATTCTTAACCATTATGATGGTTCCTTTTACTTTCATCATACTAAGTTGGTTTTGGTTCTTCATGTAAAGTTCCGTTTGCTTCTTCATTTAAAAAATTTCACACTAAATTATTTTTACTCCGCCAAAGACAGCAAACAAATCTCTTAGGTACTGTGATTCATAATACTTTCAATGGCAGTTTTATGCATACGTAAACATATAATGACCCCCCCCCCCCCATCAGGGTACCCCTCCCTCCACCAGGGTCCCAGATGCTCGTTCCACTAAACACCTCCCTTCCATCTCAGAAGCTAAGTTCTGTGGCCCCAGTTCTCAAGTTCTGTTGCCTTTAGCCATGTGTTCCTCTCTTATTGGGTGTCTTTGGGCCCCACATCTGAGAGAGATCTTTCTGGGCCTGTCACTCTCCTTCTCACCGACTTCATGCAACATGATATCCTCTAGTTTCATCTACGTCATGGGAAATGGCATGATTCACCCTTTCTCACAGCCATGTCGTATTCCATTGTGTATATATACCACGACTTCGTGATCCATTCGTCCTGAGTTGGGTACCTTAGTTGTCTTTTCTGCATACTAAACATGGTGATGAACATAGGTGTGCATACATCCTCTTGGATTAGTGTTTTTATGATTTTAAAATATACATTAATAAGTGGTATTACTGGGTCTTATAAGTTCTGTTCCTCATACTGCTTTCCATTGAAGTTGAACCAGATATCACTCCATGTCGATGATTTTTTTTACAAAAGAAAACACCAAAGCAACGGGCTTCAAACATTTGTGTATGGCAAGTAATTAAATAGATCATAAAACTGAAAACATATTAGTGAAGTCAAAATGCAAGTGAAAATATTTGCAACCTTGAAAAAGGCGAATTTCTTATGCATACTAATAAAACAGTAGAAAAATAGGAACAGAAATACTTCCTATAGTCTCATGGTCACACTAAAATATGTATAATTTCATATATTATTATCAACATTTAAATATATCTTAATATCTCAGCCTTATATGACACAAATGCACAGTAAATCTACACTGAATTGAAGTCTTCACCTAGAGCTTGCCCAGGGCGGGTGTTTGGTGGATGTGCTCTATCATTTGTGGGAGGAAAACTTCATGGAACTGTGAAGGGCAGTTATATGTAATGTACATATAAAAATAAAGGAGGATGTTTTATATTGTACTGATGCTATCAAGATCTCCAGAGTAGCTTAAACACTATTAAGTGAAGACAGCTGATTATGGTAAAGGTAAAGGTAAAGGCCCTCCCGTTGATCGTCGATTTGCTCGAGCGGGCCCAATAACGTCTCCATTGGAGACTTTGTTGTTACTGTGTCTGGCATATCGAATACTCTCGGTAGCTTGCCGGGCTCTCCGAGAGGGGCGGAGGAATCGAACTCGGGTCGGCCATGTTGGCCGCTTGTAAGGCGAACACCCTACCCGCTGTGCTATCGCTCCAGCCCTCTTCACTATTAGGTGAAGACAGCTGATTATGGAATTTAACAAAATGTGTATAACTTGCTATCCTGGTATTTAAAATGGGGGAGAAATAAGAATATACATATTTGTTTGAAGATTTTTTTCTTTTGATGTTTGGGTGACACCTGGCCATGTGCAGGGCTCACTCCTGGCACTCTGCTCATGAATTGCTCTTGGCACATTAGGAGAACTTCATGGGGTACCAGGGACCAGATCCAGGTCTGCTGCACGCCAGGCAAGTGCCTCACCTGTTGTACTGTCATCTCTCTAAGCTCTGATTCTTAGGAAACTAATCAAGGTGGTTCTTATTGCTTCTTTGTGGGGGGAGCACACCTGGCAGTGCTCAGGGACCATGTGGGGAGAGGGACTTAACCTGCGGCTCCTGCATGCAAAGTGGGAACACTGATCTTTTTCATCAGTCCGGGTTATTCTTGGAAGTGTTCCTGGATGTTTAAGAACAGAGATAGGGCATTGGAGATAGAAGGCTATTTCATCTTTACTCTGTATTGCTTATTTCCTTGTGTTTGGACCCCACCCGGCTGTGCTCAGGGCTCACTCCTGCTCAGGGGTTCCTGTGGGGTGTCAGGTATGGGACTGGGGTCCTCTCCATACAAGGCAAAGGTCCCGGCCGGCTGTTGTGTTGCTTCAGTCCTCTTGTTCCTGTTCCAGAACCGTCTGAATGGATTTTATATTAAGAACAAAATAAATTTTGTGAAAGATTTTAAGGAAAATGTTTCTTTTTGCTTTTTTAAACAGTAAGCTTAAAAAGCTGAGTGAAGACAGTCTGACGAAGCAGCCTGAGGAAGTGTTTGATGTATTAGAGAAGCTTGGGGAAGGGTAAGTACGAACATCTTGAAAGGTATATTGAAAGGACGGTCATTTAAAAGACACTGTAGCATTAGTCTTAACCAGAGATATTTTCTTGAGCAATAACAGTAATTAGAATTAGTATACCCTGCAGCAGTCAATGTGGGCTCATAAATGATTTATTTTTGCTAGATTTAGTATTGGTTTCTTTTAGAGAACTGAGACTTAGATGTAAGAGAGAGCAAGACTTGTGCTGTAAATTTATTTCCAAAATGTTTGTTAGTCATAGAGCATTTCTACTAATAAGCTTGGAAGAGTTGATTTCCTTAACAAGTGAGCATGACATCTTCCAGGACACTGTGGTCACCTTCTGCGGAGAAGAGTGAGCGGTATCTGTCAGTAGTGCCTCGGTGAGGAAAAGCGCATAGAGCTGACGTGACAGATTTCATTTTGGATGGATAGGAGCATTGAATGAAATGGCAAAGTACAGGAAATGTAAAAAATTATAGAAAATATAAAACAGAATCCATAATGGTTTATGGAGCAGAAACATTGAGGGGCGGGGGAGAGGGAGAGAGAGGTAGAGAAAGAAAGTAGGAGGGAGAGAGAGACAGAGAGAGAGAGAGAGAGAGAGAGAGAGAGAGACTAAAAATGTAACATAATATGTATCCTAAAATGGAAGGAATACTATCAAGAATATTTTCCACTGAATCTCAGTAATCTCAAAATGATTAGGATGAATTAAAATACAGACAGAGCCACATGCTATTTACAAGATGCCAGTTTTATTCGAAGGGTAGAAATACTGCACTCTTTCTTACTAGAGATATCAGCTGGGGAGATTCCTTGCTCTATTACCCAAAATACTCTGCAGATACAGTACAATATTTATCAAAACACCAATAGCATTTTTCACGGAAATAGAATAAAGAATTCTGAAATTTGTATGGAACCACCGAAGACCCTGAATAACCAATCCGATCTTGAGAAAGAACAAGCCAGAGGCATTGCGTTTCCTGATTTCAAACTATCCTGTCATATCAAACTCTCAAATATGCACAACTTGATCCTAATCAAAACAGTATGATATGTTTATGGAAACAGATATGCGCGTCTATGGAGCAGGACAGAGGGCCCAGAAGCAGTCACCTCCGTATATGCAACACACACACACACACACACACACACACACACACAGAGTCAGTGGATTTATGACAGGAGTGGCACAAGAGGCCGTGTCTTCAGTAAATCAATAAATGGGGCTGGGGAAACTGAACAACCACACACAGAAGGATGAAACTGGACCAATCTTTCCCCCGATATATAAACAAACATTCTCTGTGTAAAGACCTAAACATACAATCTGAAACCATAAAATCTCAGGAAGAAGATGTAGGCAAAATAGGCTGTGATCTCCTTCATATCAATCTTGTGGTAATCTTTTTTAAGTCAACAAAAAAGTTAACAAGTCTCCATCAAACCAGAAAGCATCAGCCCGCTGGGCCCGTCAGCACCGCTTGAGGGTCACCTACCGAAAGAGTGGGAGGCCTGCACGTTCATCTTACCTCCCACAGGGGGTTAAGAGCCAATAAAATTTGAGACAGTCCAGTCGGTTTTTAAAAAATGGGTAGAGGACCTGGATGGACATTTTTGTAAAGAAAACATATCAAGGAGCAACAAGTACACGGAAATATTGTTAGTCTAATTAAACCAGGGAGGTGTAGATACACCCAGAGGGAGAGATCACATTGTGCCGTTTAGGATAGCCGTTCGCAAAAGACAAACAGCCAGAGTTGGGGATGATGCGGAAGACAGGAGCTGCATGTGCACTGCCGGATGGCCTCAGTGCTCCCTCTGGAGCCAGTGTGGAGGGGCCCGCCCGAACCCCGAGTCCCAGCACTTCCACTCCTTGTGTATTATCTGAGGAAATGGAAACACTGACTAGAAACACCCGCCCCCCGCCCCCCCGGGTTTGTGACATACCCACAGAGTCCTGCATGCAAGTTCATGAATACAGCGACAGCTGCACCCATGTTTGGAACATACACCTGTATATCCATGTTCATGAACATGCTAACGGACACCTGCACCTGTGTTCATAAACATGCTAAGAAAGACTCCTGAACTCATCTTCTTGAACATACTAACAGATACCTGGAGGGAAATGTTCAGGACCATGCTAACAGACACCTGTACCCGTGTTCATAAACATGCGAACAGACACCTGTACCCATGTTCAGGAACATACTAACAAAGACACCTGTACTGTGTTCATAAATGTACTAACAAAGACTCCTGCACCTGTGTACTTGAACATATATATATATATTTTAATTTTATTGAATCATCGTGAGATAGTTATAAACTTTCATGTTTGGGTTACAATCACACAGTGATCAAACACCCATCCCTCCACCAGTGCACGTTCCCCACCACCAATATCCCCGGTATAACCCCCCTTTCCCACCCTCCCTCTGCCTCCATGGCAGACATTATTCCACATAGTCTCTTTCTACTTTTGGGCATTATTATGGTTTGCAATCCAAACCCTGAGAGGTCATCATGTTTGGCCCTTTATCTACTTTCTGCACACATCTCCCATCCCCACCGATTCCTCCAGCCATCTTTTTCTTAGTGATCTCTTTTCTATTCCAGCTGCCTTCACCCCTTTGCTCATGAGGCAGGCTTCCAGCTATGGAGCAGTCTCTCTGTCCCATGTATCTACGGTCCTTAGGTGTCAGCCTCATGTTATGTTGTTTCATACTCCACAAATGAGTGCAGTCCTTCTATGTCTGTCCCTCTCTTTCTGACTCATTTCACTTTAACATGATACTCTCCATGTCTGTCCATTTATAAGCAAAGTTCACGACTTCATCTCTCCTGACATCTGCATAGTATTCCATTGTGTAGATGTACCAAAGTTTCTTTAACCAGTATCTGTTCTAGGGCACTTGGGTTGTTTTCAGATTTTGGCTATTGTGAACAGTGCTGCAGTGAACATATAGGTACAGATGTCATTTCTACTGTGCTTTTTTGCATCCTTGGGATATATTCCCAGAAGTGGTATTGTGGGGTCATACGGAAGCTCAATTTCTAGTTTTTTGAAGGACTGTTCACATTGTTTTCCAGAAAGGCTGGACTAGTGGGCATTCCCACCAACAGTGAAAGAGTGTCCCTTTTCCCCCACATCCATGCCAGCACTGGTTGCTTTTGTTCTTTTGAATGTGTGCCAGTCTCTGTGGTTTGAGATGATATCCCATTGTTGTTTTGATTTGCATCTCCCTGATGGCTAGCGATGTGGAGCATTTTTTCATGTGCCTCTTGGCCATTTGTATTTCTTTTTTGAGGAAACTTCTGTTCATTTCTTCTCCCCATTTTTTTGATGGGGTCGGAGATTTTTTTCTTGTACAATTCTACTAGTGTCTTGTATATCCTGTATATTAATCCCTTATCAGATGGCTATTGGGTAAATATTCTTTCCCGTTCTGTAAGCTCTTTTTGTATTTTGGTCACTGTTTTTTTGAAGTGCAGAAGCTTCTTAGTTTGATGTAGTCCCATTTGTTTATATCTGCTTGCTCTTGCAGTACGTGAACATATTAACAACACCTGCACCCACATTCATAAACATATTAACAAAGACACCTGCACTCACGTTCATAAACATACTAACAAAGACACTTGCACCCATATTCACAAACATACTACGACACCTGCACTCATGTTCATGAACATACTGACACCCACAGCCATATTCATAAACATACTAACAAAGACACAGGTACCTGTGTGTATAAACATGCTAACAAAGACTCCTGCATGCACGTTTATTAACATACTAACAAAGTTATCTGCCTCTCTGTTGATGAACCTACAAAGATACCTGCACCCCATATTCATGAACTTACAAAGACCTCTATACCAGTGTTCATTAACATACTGACATGCATCACCATATGTAGTCACATATTTTTCTTATGTGAGAACATCTTAGCAGCTTTCATGGCAACACTACACTAATGATCTGTAGGCAGCCTGCAGTTTCTTACGTTGTGATGGCCATTACCTGGACTTACTGTGGTAATCTTGTCTCAGGATATAAGAATGTCCGCCGTGTGTCCAGTCATCGTGTTGTGTCCCTGACACCGGTGCTGTGTTGTTTATGTCAGTTACGGCTCAGGAGGAAACGAGCCGACAGAAAAGACCCTGGAGACTTGGCAGTGATGGGCCAGTGTGGTACGGGCAGGGCCGACTCTGCAGCTGCCCGTCACAGCCCAGGCAAAGGTCCCCACAGCCCACTGAGTGTGCAGTGGCACCAAGACATTTGCTGGGGGGTAAATCATCTTCTCACAGATGTTACTTGAACAATTGGATACGTAAGCCAGTGAGCTTTTACCGTGTATCTTAATCAACGTGGACTCAAAATGGGTTATAGATCTAAATGTAAATTTTACAAAATCTTTTAAAGGGAAACATGGACGGAAATAGTTGTGGGCAGGTGGAGAAGTGGAGTTCCTTGGTTTTAACACTGAAAGCAGAACAGCTGACTGAGGAAGGGGCCAGGTGTGGTGCAGAGGCTAAACTTTACACCTGCCTTGCAAGCGTGGGGCCGTGGATCAGACCCCCACTGAGCACAGTCCTGGTTGCTCTGTCACTTGGGACCCCGAGACCTCATCAGTGTCACCTCCTGCATGTAGTGGGGCGGGCAGGCCACGCTTAAATGAGTGTGTGTCCAGAATGCCGCGTGTCAGCCATAGCCAGATTCTGTGGCCTCTGACAAGCCCTGCGGCTGAGTGTGGGACCGCCCACTGCAGCACTTTGACCCCCCCACCCCATCCTAACTTCTGCTCCCCAATTCCAGCAACAATAGCATTGAAGGGAAAGGGAGCAGAGCAAACCCCTGTGTTGTGCGTGAGCTTCCGGCCCAGGATCGGAGTCTTAGGACTCCAGTACTATTGGCCAAGGCCAGGACTCTCCCAGGAGGGAAGGAAGGAGGTGGCAGGTAGAGGAGTCATGGTGGGCACTGCCCCCAG